TTTTGTATTTTTTTATTTTAATTTCACTGTTACCCTTGACTATTGTCCTTTTTATTGCAGTGTTGGAGAAGCAGAAGGTATTTATGCCTCCTCTATTACTGCAAAAAATAAATAATGTAACAATAAACTTTCTTAAAACTCAGACTGCTTCCTGCCTAATAGACTATAGGTGTTAAAGAGCAGGGTTGTGGGGAAGGGGGACATTCTGAGAAGTGGTCTTAACTCCTGTACCGAAATTATTTCAAAGTTCTTGAGTCACTCTGTCATTTAGTGTGACTAGGATTTCTAGTCTTGTAATTTCCCTACCCACATGAAAAGCCAGGAGTAGTGCATGCACCTGCAACCCCAGCCCTTGGAGAAGCAGCCTCAGGCCCCAATAAGACACCTTGTGTCAGTAAACATGGTGGACAGCTCCTGGGGAACAACCCCCAAGGATGACCTCATGCACATACACACACATTAATAATAAAAACAAGCCAAGCTGATGGATGTGACTGGCTAGCTCAGGGTCTGAACTAGTTTGGTTTGTTAGGGTTCCACTGGGGCAGTAGCCCAGGGCCAGTTGCCCTCCACTTCACACTGGTGTTGACATTGATTGGGTAGGTCTGGCTTGAAGATTCGAGCATCACACCTCTAGATGTTGTTCAAAATGAGTCCTTGGTTTTTCTTTGCTTAGTATAAAACACCAGTTACTGCTCAAAGCCAACACTCACTTTCCCATCCCAACAGCACAGCCTTCTTTACTTGAAGATTGACTATTGGAAATTTTAATTCTGTGTACCTGAGCCTGGCAGGTCAGAGAGTCATCATAATTGCCATTGTTTTTAATGAAAGTCCCCCAAACACATGTACATTAAAATGCACCTTACCCAGGTACAGCGTCATACACCTTGAGAGGTAGTGGGCAGAAGGAGCAGGAGTTCAAGGCTGTCTACTACTGCTTACACATTCAAAGCCTGGGGTGCATGAGACCGACTCTAAAGGAGCCAGGGAGATGGCTGAACAGATAAGAGCACTTACTACACAAGCATTAGGACCCAAGTTAAAATCCAGAGTACCCACATAAAATGTCAGTTGTGGATGTGTGCTCCTTCACCCCTAGCACTATGGAGGACGGGGACAAGTGCTTGCTGGCCACCAGCACTGCTCCTAGTAGGAGACCCTGCCACAAGGGAGAATGATAAAGCAGGGTACTGGACATCCTTTGGCCTCTGCTCATGAACATAGATGTGCATCCCCACCTGCTAAAAAACAAAGGAGTTGCTCACTTCACAGAAACACCAAGAACCAACCAAAGTACTGCATGAGCTAGTGGTAGTGGAGACACTTCTGCACCAGGTTGTTTGTTGGAGAAATAACACTGGTTCCAGCCTCTGCCAGGCAGCATCATAAGTAATGCCAGGAAACATAGTGGTTAGGGGCTTCCTGTTCTAGCCCTGGAACTGGTGGACAGAACAAAGAGGGTTGTTCCTCACCTTGATGCCTTTACTGTGTCACTTACCCAAATGACCATGATCCCAGCCATTCCAGCTCTTGGCAGAGCTGTTTCATGGGACTGAGGATCTCAGTAACTGGTTTTCTCCTTTATATTCAGTCCTTGGTGTGGTGGTTAGTTTTAACTGTCTACTGCCGAAATCTAGACTCACTTGGGTAGAGTTTCAAGGGATTGTCTAGAAAAAGTTTGCCTGTGGGCAATCTGTTGAGAGATTGGGTCTCTACTGCTGGCAGCCAGCAAAACCCAGTGATCCTATCTCCCCTCCTCCCTGGGATCACAAGTACACAAGAACATGCATGGCTTTTTATGTGCGCTTCTGGGATTTGAACTCCGATCCTCATGTTTGAGTAGACAGGGTCTAGTGTATCCCACAGTGGCCTCTAATTGCTCGTTGATGTGTAGCTGAGAGTGAGCCTGGTACTGATCATTTTGCGTCCATCTCCTGAGTGCTGGGGTTATAGCCAGGTACCACCAGCCCTGGTTTATATAACCCAGCACTGAAAATGGAACCCAGACCCTCCTGAATGCTGGGTACACACTCTGCCAACTAAGCCACATCCCCAGCCCAATAACCCAGCTTTTGAAATCTGCTGCAAGAAATGCAAAAGACCAGGGGACAGTGGCTGGCAGCCCTTCCCTGGCTCAGCTTTCCCCAGCATCACCTCTCATTGCCGGCTGGAGCCCAAAATAACTCAGGTTTATTTTTGAGTTTGGCTTCTTGGGTAAGAAGCAAATGAAAACAAGCTTTCAATCAAGAGGCTTGTTTTAAAAGGCAATTTCCAAGAAACATGTAGGGGTCACTGTGGGTTCAGCCCCACCCAGCATGCCGTGTTCTCTGTGATAGTCGGCAGGTTACAGGCCCCCTTACTTGAGGCTGCGGAGGGATTGAGTCCCCCAAGGGTTCTGTTTTACTAGGTTCTGTTTTACTAGGATTTATTATTGCATGTTTGTGCAAGTGTGCCACGGCATGTGTGTGGAGGTCAGAGGACAACTTTGTGGAATTGATTCTCCTAGATTTACATAGAGGATCAAATTGTCAGACTCACAGGGAAAACACCTTCACCCACTGAGCCATCACATGGGCCTGGGTTTTGTTCTGTTTAGTGTACCTCCAGCTTTCCACCCTGTGGAGAGTAAGTATGTAGAAGCTTCCAGAAGCTTCAACAGAGCTGAGTGGGGGCTGCCCAGGAGTTGGGGTGCAAGTCCCCAGTTATCTGTGCATCTCCTTATTCTGCCTATTTTCTCACAGAGTTCAAAGAACACTATGAGCGAAGGTAGAGGGCTCATGCAGGGCAAATAGCCTAAATTTCATTCAGCTCCATGTTGCTGAGCTACAGTGATACATTGCTTCTGATCTAATGAAGCTTGCCTGGAGATCAGAATGCAAAGCCGTCCACACTATTCAGCCATAGAGGTTAGGTAGTGGTGCCACACACCTTTAATCCCAAGACTCAGGAAATGGAAGCAGATGTCTCTGTGAGTTCAAGGCCTCCCAGGGCTACATGAGAATGAATCAGTCTAAAAGAAACAGAGCTCACACCTTTAATCCCAGCACCAGAGAGGTATGTATTTAGTCTCCAGCCACATTGAGGTCAGATAGAGGTAAAAGCTCTGGTGGCTTAGCTGCTTTGCTTCTCTGATCTTCAGGCTACCTTGAATACCCTTTCCCTATAATGAGATTGATGACTTAAATGCCATCATGGAGCCTTTACCCAGTAGCTGATGGAAGCAGCAGCAGAGATTCACAGCTAAGCACTGAGCTGAACTCCTAGAATCCAGATGTAGAGAGGGAGGAGTCATGAGCAAAGGGGTCAAGACCATGCTGGGGAAATCCACAGAAACAGCTCACCTGAACAAGGGGGAGCTCAAGGACCCCAGTCTGACATCTGGGAAACTAGCATAAGACTGAACCAGGCCCCCTGAACTTGGGTGTCAGGAGGCCTGGGCAGTCTATGGGGCCTCTGGCAGTGGAACCAGTATTTATCCCTAGCATACGAATGGGCTTTGGGAGCCCATTCCCTATGGAGGGATACTCTCTCATGTTAGATACACAGGGGAGGGTCTAGGTCCTGCCCCAAATGATGTGACAGACTTTGATGATCCCCCATCGGAGGCCTCACCCTCCCTGAGGAATGGAGGGGACGGGAGGGAGGGAGAGGGAACTGAATTGGTATGTAAAATAAGATTGTTTTTAAATAAAAAATAATTTAAGAAAAAAGAAGCCAAACTGGTCTACAGAGTGAGTTCTGGGAGAGCCAGGGCTATAGAGAGAGGCCCAGTCTCAAAAAAAGTTAACTTCGCCTACACACACACAAACATACACGTTCCTTTTCAAGACCTTTCCTGTCCTTCCCAGGCAGACATGGATGCAGCTGCATGTCCTCCAAACCCTGGTTGTCTCCGCCTGTTGGATCTACAGAGTGGCTCACCTTGGCACTGCTCACAGACCTTCTATATGTGAAGATGTTCTCTGGAATGTTCTAGTTTCCCCTTTGACCTCAGCAGGATCTAAGTTTGCACTCTAGCTTTACCCAGCTCCCCAGCTAACCCACTGCATGTCTGCATTTTTAAGCACTTTGGAGGGTCTTTCATTCACAAAGGTCTGTGTCCTTTGTGACACAGACCATATTTACAGGACAACAGCCGCTTCCTGCTCATGCCCCGGCCATGAGGTGAAACTCCATCTTCCATCCCCAGCAGTTCCTGTCATGAACAGGAACAAAATGCTGGCCTTCCTTCGCCTCTGATGGGTGCCTGGGTTGCAGGTGGAAGACAGGATATCAGGGCAGCTTGAAGAGGTATCCACAGCCATCATCTGCCATTCACCCAGTAAAGCCAGAGAGCATAAGCATGCACGCTATGGGTGCCCTGACAACACAGGGGACCTGCTAGACTCAGCAGCATTTAGCTAAGGAGGCAGGAGGGCTAGAAACTCAAGGTTGTCCTTGGCTACATAGTGAGTTAAAGATTAGCTTGGGCTACTGAAACCTTATCTCAAAAATGAAAAGCAAGCAACAACAACAACAAAAATACATGAGGGGGTAGGGTTAATGATAGTAACTGGGAATGCTCCCTTAAAGAGTGGACAGTTCACTGGTTCCTTCTGCTTTGCTTCCTGGCCTCCATAAGGTGAACATCTCTCCATACACACTCTGTGAAGTTCCTACCTCCCCACTGCCTAAAAGCCATGGAATCAGCCCACCACAGATGAGACCTCAGAAGCTGTGAGCCCAGCCAAACCATCTTCTGAGTTGATTTGCTCACATATTTCGTCACAGCAACGAGAAGGAATCTAACACAGCCACTCACCTACAAGATGCACATGTTCCCCTCAGCTTGCCAAGACCCCCACCCTCCCTCCTCAGATAGCAAGACTGGCATTGCCAGCCAGCTGGGACATTTGAGAACAATGAGGGTCACTTCAGGAAAACTGTGTGTGTGTAAAAGAGCTCCAACAATACATGACACAGAAACAAAGAGGAAAAACACAGCTGTGGATGAATAATTTTAATACCATTCTTCTGTCAGGAGTTTATAGACTGAGACAGGGAAAATGCCATCAAAGACAGAAGAGCCAAGCCCCACCACCACACTGGCCTAACTGGTAGCGACAGCACAAGCAGCAGCCTCAGGGTTGGAGAAGGCGCCTTTCTGCCTTCCACACCCAACCCCATGAACCTGCCCATTAGACACCAGATCACTCCAGTTCTGTCTGGGAAATAGCCAACCCCACAGGGCACAAATTTCTCCAGGAGCTTCACAAAAGACCCACGCCAGCCTTGAGCCGAAAGTCATTCTGACCACAGAAAAGAACCCTGTATGAGTGACACAAAGTTGAAAAGAAACAGTGCTGGATTGATGGCTCAGACATTAAAGGTGTGTGCTGCACTTGCAGAGAGCCCGAGTTCAACTGCAAGCCCCCACATAGGGCTGCTCCCACTTCCTGTAATGGCATCCAGGGATTCCCCCTTCTGGCCTCTGTGGGCAGCTGCACTCATGCACAGACAGAGGGACACAGACATACACATAGCCACATAACCCATGTCGCAGAGTGGTCCAGAGCTCCAGCTCTGAGTGATTAGACCAGAGCCGCCTCCTGTAGGGAAGAAGCAAGCATGTGGCTACCTCCTCCCTCTTAGCCATGGCTGCAGGCCACATAACATGAGGACCCCATGGTCAAGCACCCAAGGAGCATTTCTTCAGCTTCTGGGGACATTTCTTTTAATCCAGAAGATACCAGAAGTACCCTCAGTCACTGGTCAGGCATGATAAATTGGTATCCTCAGGAAAAAATGCCAGGAGCTGACTTCACTGTATTGGATGGTTCATCCCGATGCATTAATTCTCTGCCCCCCAGCGGCAGTGGGAAGAACTAGCCTTGGCAAGTCTTCGAGAGCTCAACCTCCGCCTCAGGGAAAAGAACTTGTCGCCCAGGACCCTTCGCAGCCCCACATTATCCTTGACACAGGGCAGGTGCTGCCTGGTGACTGGGAGCTGCCCCGTGAACATCTCCCACCGGCCCATGGCATCCACAGCTGCATCTACGTGGACCAGCTCCTCTTCAGCCACTTCTCTCTCCAGGACCTGGATGCATGCACCCAGCCACTGTCCATACTCCTCAATGGCCTCTATTGGGCCCCCGAGTTTCAGCAACACTTCTGAAGCCACCAGAGAGCTCAGCCCATCCTCAGACCCTGGTTCAGGCCCATCAGGGAAGACATGACTCCACGCATCAGGGGTGACGGGCTCTGAAGGACTGGTGACAGGCTCTGTGTCACTCTCGCAGCCCATGCCTGAGTCAGCACTGAAGGGCAGAGTGTCATCTGACACAGATGGTTCCCCAGCCTCTTGGCCAGACCACATCTCCACCATCACTCGGGTCCAAGTATGGAGTCTCTATGGAAAGAGACAGACTGAGGTTGCTGTTTAGCCAGGGAGCTCCTGGGGACCACCCCAGAGTCAGCAGGAGGCTGAAGCCATAAGGGCCTCTGAGCTGGGCCTATCTGAGGACTGGAGTCCAGGTCACAGCTGAGCTGGGTCTATCTGAGGACTGGAGTCCAGGTCACAGCTGAGCTGGGCCTATCTGAGGTCTGGAATCCAGGTCACAGCTGAGCTGGGCCTATTTGAGGACTAGAGTCCAGGTCACAGCTGAGCTGGGCCTCCCAACTCCCAGAGGCCCACCTTTCACAGGCACTCAGCCAGCTAGCTGTTAACCAGCCATTGCCCAAAGATAATTACACGAAGATTATAGTTCATTTGAACTTTGTGTGTAAGCATGCAAGTTGGGGGGGGGGGCACATGTGCATGTAGAGGCCACAGATCAACACCAAGCACCTTGTTTTTTTTGTTTGTTTTTTGAGGCAGTCCCTCACTGACCCTAGAGCTCACCATGGTTAGACTGGCTGGGATTAAAGACACTGTGTGTGCCACCACCCGACTTTTACATAGGTGCCATGGATCCAAATTCAGGCCCTCATACCCCCCTCTTGCCCCCAGCCATCTTCCCAACCCCTAGAGTTAAACTTTGTTTTCCCCCTTTTATTTTTATTTTTTTGTTTGTTTACTGTTCTTGTTCTTTAAAAAAAAAAATTAGCCAGGCATGGTGGTGCACGCCTTTAATCCCAGCACTCGGGAAGTAGAGGCAGGTGGATCTCTGAGTTAAAGGCCAGCCTGGTCTACAGAGTACCAGGACAGCCAGAGCTTTTTAGTTGAGGCCCTGTCTCAAGAAAACAAAAAAGATTTATTTCATGTGTGCACAGATGTGCCTCATGCATGTAGGTGCCCCCAATGGCCACAAGAGGGCATCAGATCCCACAGAGTTGGAGTTAACTATCAGTTGGTGGGTAGTGGGAATCAAGCTGTTCTTAACCACCGGTCCAGTTAAAACTTTAAGCCAAAGAGAAGAATCAACACACTCCAACCCCTAAATGCCACCTACCATCAGCTGTGCTATGACGTTAGCTTCCTATAGTATATCCCCAAATGGGCACCCTGGTGTGACAAGATGCAGCATGTCCCACTCCTGCTGTGAGGCTAGGCTTAAGTTAGTTCTGTGTCCCCTACCAAAATCCCCAGGGACTGTCCTAGTGACACTGAGCAGACTCCACCTCCTGTGACAGCCACGAAGGCCACAGCCCCTCTGGTCCCCATGCCTTGTCCCCAAAAAGGGCTTGGCCACCCCAGGGTGCCAGCTCAACCCCTGGTGTGATCGGACAGCAACTCTATCACAAATCTTCAGGGAGGGACAAACAAGATAACCAGTACAAAGGGACTCTTGCCACCAAATCTGAGTTTGAACCCATGATTTACATCTTCTCAACTCCGTAGGACACCATGACACACTTGTGCACATGAAATTTATAAATTTATAAATTTATAAAACTGGAGGGAGCTCAGCAGTTAAGAGTGCTAGTTATTTTTCTAAAGGACTCCAGTTCAATTCCCAGCATCCACGTGGCAATCACAACTATCTGTAACTCTATTCTCAAGGCATCTGACACCCTCTTCTGGCCTCCATGGGCACCAGGCATACACATGGTACACAGACATACATGTAGGCAAAACATCCATACACATGAAAATGAAAATAAGTGAGTCATTCTCTTTTTTTCCCCTGGAAGACAGGTTCTCACTGTGTAGCCCTGGCTGTCCTGGAACTCACTATGTAAACCATGCTGGCTTCTAACTCACAGAAATTCATTCCCCTGCCTCTGCCTCCTGAGTGCTGGGATTAAAGGTGTGTACCACCACACCTGAGCTAAATATTTATTAAAAATTTAAAAAGAAAAAAACCTGAAGGGGTGGAGGCTTCCCGCACTGAGTAAACTGAGCCTAGACACTGAATACAAGCCAATTTTTACACAGGAATATCTCTTCCTTTCACTGAGAACTTTTAACTTGCTTTCAACCAAAGGTGGACTTCAAATAAAAAAATAAAAAGAATTAGGCAGCACTTGTCTTTGATCTCGGAACCCTGAGTCAAGTGTCCTAGTTTGCAAACAAGATTTCCAGCAGGGATAAAGCTGGGGGGTAGGGGGGGACAACACACGACACGTGCCTTCTAGCAATACTACATTCTGACAGCAGAGGGCAGAATCCCCTCACCAGCTCAGCCAAGAGGAGCTCTGCAGCTGTCTGCCCTTCTGAATACCAGCTTGGTATGTGCTTCCCCTTTCTCCCGGGGCTGTGCTGCCTCTAGGTACAGGATCAGTATCCACCAAGGAGCAAGGAAGAAGAAAGAGGACAAGATGTGGGAAGGGGGCCCTCACCTGTGCTCTGTAAACACAGCGCTTCTTGCCCTCCTCCACCCACCACAGCCTGATGTCACTGACACCAGCCTGGGTGTTCCATCTGTCAGCAAGACCTGAAGCCCCCTCCCCAGGAGTGATGGTGCAAGCATGTCCTTTGGCTATCCCATACACACATCCAGGTCCTGCTACCTGTCCCCTCCCACTGCCTCTGGGTGGCTGCCCCACGCCCCACGCCCCACGCCCCACACACTTACTTACCTTGTACCTCTCCAGGAGCCTGAAGCCCAAGAGGTGCTGCAGTTTCCGAAGGCAGATAGGACAGAGGTCCAGGGGCCGCCTTATGGCCTCATCTAGGCTAAGTGCCCCCTGCAGGAGGCAGCGAAGCCATCGACAGCTCCCCAGACCCAGGAGGTGGCAGAGCTCATGGCAGGTAACCTGAGGAGAAATTACACCAGGGCCTTGCCTCACACTCTCAGCATCCTATAACTCCCACCCAGGGATACCTGAGCCAGCTGGCCAACCCTAGAAGTCCAACACCTTGGGTAATAAAGATTACCCGTGTGGGGCAGGACCCACACGGTGCCCTCACCGTATCCTGCTTAATGGCTCTAAGAAGCCACACAGCCTGAAGAGGCTTAGAAGCCGGCCAGACCAGGGGCGAGATCCCAGAATCCTGTAGGTTCATGGCTGAGTGGCCTTAAACACTTGGGGTCTTTGAGCCTTGGTTTACTCACTCTGTAAATTGATGGACTGTTGTGGAATTATCATCTTCAGATGTGTTACATTTGTTTATGCTGTGGAACATTTGTTTTAATGATGCAAAGGTGTGGTGCATTCTTTTATGTTAACTCTGTGAAGCTGTGTTATTGCGCCTGTCTAAGACATCTGATTGGTCTAAAAGAGCTGAAAGACCGGCAGCTGGGCAGAGAGACTGTCTAGCAGCGTGTGAAAGTAAGTGATTGAAATCTGCACGGTACAGCTTACAGCTACTGGAGAGGCAAACTGAATTGCAGAATCTGGATAAATGTCACAAAGAAATGATGACCATGACAGAGTTATAACCAAGAGCAGCACGCCCCTCAAAGAGAAGTTGAGCTCAAGAGTGGGATGTTAGAAAGTTTGAGCTGTGAATGTGAAGCCGGAGCAGCTAGAAACGCAGCTAAACAGAAGCCACAGGCAGGAAGTGGATGGCCTGGAAAATAAGTTAGGAAAACTGAAAGTGCAGTAAGATGACTCGAGGTTAAGGAGAAAGCAGAAAGAAGCTGAGGCTGGAAGTTATCACCAGGGAGATGTTCTCGCTCACAAAGCGGAAAGAGCTCTGGGCTAATGTCTGAGCGGGACAGGCCCAGTGGCAGGTCTTCAGAGGTGCTGGCTCTTCAGATTGAGCTAACTGAAATGGAAGATCTCTTTCCTCACAAGAGCCCTCCTCTGGATACTCAGCTGTGTTACTGTGCCTGTCTAAAATGCCTGATGGTCTAATAAAGAGTTGAACAGCCAATAGCGTGACAGGAGAAAGGATAGGCAGGGCTGGCAGACACAGAATAAATAGGAGGAAGCGGAGAAAGAACAAGGAGAGGAGGACTGTAGGGGTCAGCCACCGAGTAAGATATACAGAAGTAAAAAAGGAAAAAGCCCAGAGGCAAAGGGTAGATGGGATAATTGAAGAAAAGCTGACTAGAAATAAGCCAAGCTAAGGCTGGTAAGGCTGGGCCTTTATAAGAAAGAATAAGTTTCCATGTGATTTATTTGGGAGCTGGGTAGTGGGCACTCAAAAGAGTAAGAAAAACAAACCAACGTGAACTCAAATTTCATGACTCCTTTAAGGGTTTCTGCGTGATGGTACATGCCTTTAGTCCCAAACACTTGGGAGGCAGAGACAGGCAGATCTCTGTGAATTCAAGGCCAGCCTGGTCTACAGAGCAAGTTCCAGGATAGGCTCCAAAGCTACATAGAGAAACCCTGTCTCAGGGAAAAAACAAAGAGTCTCTGCCTTACAGCAAGCCCTGAGTAGAGGGTATGTTACAAAAACAAAAAGCTAAGTTAAAAAAAAAAAAACAGAACAAAACATATATACGGCAGAGTAAACATAAGCTTCCTAGAGCTAGGAAATTTGAATGCAGTTTCCCAAATGCACCTCACAACCAACCAGAGTAGCAGGAGGAGCCAGTGACCAAAGCCACCTGCAGAGGACTATACAGCTTAGCAGTTTTAAAGTTCATACAGTTTCAAAAGGCTTTATAAATGATATGCAGTAAAAGATATTCAGACTGGAAAACCTGTCATTAGGTTCCAGTGTTGTTTACAATGTATGTAGACTTAAGAAAGAAAATGGATATAGACACCCATAGAAAGAAATATACTAAAAAAGTCTTTGAAGAGACAGGAAAAAAGGGCATGTAAAGATGGAAAATACACCAGGAGCCTGGATCCTGTATAGTACTGTGTTGATTTTGAATTTTTGGATTGCTGATGAGCAAAGGACAGCTGCTCAGAGACCTGGAGTTGAAGGAGGGACTGTCAAAATAAACCAGCCTAAATACTTTAGGAATGACTTAATTTTAAAATGGAAGTCAAAAAATATATTTGTCAAATGGAAATTAAAAATATGTTGGAGGAGAGGTTTTGCTTTTGTTTCCATGGGAAATGAGAAGCTGTGGATTCCTTCCAGGTTAGTATGGTTGATCAGGGAAGACCTCCTGACTCTTGACAGGTGCTATATATCAACAAAGGTTACTGCTGGTCTTCCCAGGACTTGGCCATTATCTTAAATTTTCTCAGGGTCACTAAAGATGCCTTCTGCCCACAGACAACAGGAAGCAGTTTGGAGAACACAACATCCACATTCCCAAGAGGGGTGTGGGAGGCTTTTGGTTGTTTGGTGGGTTACAGATATATGTTATCATTTAGGGGAATGTAGTATATTGATATAAATGTAAAGTTATTTTTGTTATATTGTGTATATGTTTCTACTCTTGTTTAAGTTATTGTACCTATGAGTTCATTTAAAAATATAAGGTAGGGGACTGAAGAAAGGGCGAAGTGGTTAAGAGCACTGACTGCTCTTCCAGAGGACCTGGGTTCAATTCCAAGCACCCACATGGCAGTTCACAACTGTCTGTTAACTACAGTTCCAGAGGATCTGATGCCCTCATACAAACATACATGGAGGCGAAATACCAATGCATATGAAATTAAAATATGTATGTGGTAAAGGTCTAATTTTTGAAAGCTCTTATAAACTATTTAGGATAATCAAAAACATAGATTTGTAGTTAGTCATCAAATCTGTAGATATATTAGGCATGTTTTCTATATCATACAGATATCTTTTAGATAAGTGGTCTTCAAATACTTCAAAGACCTGTAAAATATGACATTTAAAATGTTTTGTTAACTCGGGGCTTTTCATGACAATGAGACACATCTGCTCCTGGCAGCACCAATTTACTTCATAAAAGGATGATGGACATCAAAGAAACTCCAGAGGAGTTTGCTTTCACTGTGGCAAGATGAGCCATTTGGACAAGAAACTGCTTTTGCCCTGACTGCTTGACTGAGTGCTCTGCAAAATGGACATGCAGGACCCACAGGAAAATGACTGCTGAACTTTGCCAAAGCAAGACAGGGAAGTCCTTCAAATTTACTGCTTCACTGAAAAGTCTACTAGATACTCTAGGCCTCTAAGCTGAAGATGGATGCCCCGGTGTTGCAGAGGAACTTTGGGTGACTGTCCAGGCAGTCAGAAGTCTCTTGTCATTTCTGAAGTCTTGGAAGTTGCTTGCAATGCACTTCCTGTTTACTCAGGTAATAATATATCCTTCTGGGGTCTTGGATGGAGTTGAAGACTAGATAGTTTTAGTTTCAGTTGTCTAATTATGAAAGAGAGTAAATTAGGTATAAAACTTTGGAGTCACTAGCAGGGCGTTGGTGGCACAAGCCTTTAATCCCAGCACTCAGGAGGCAGAGGCAGGCGGATCTCTGAGTTCGAGACCAGCCTGGTCTACAAGAGCTAGTTCCAGGACAGCCTCCAAAGCCACAGAGAAACCCTGTCTCGAAAAACCAAAAAACTTTGGAGTCACTAAGATGGGATGGATAGTAGAGTATTTTCTCTGAATTTGCTAAATGCAAATGAACTGAATACTGTAAATTAATTCCATTTTTGTTGCATATTGTTTTACTATGTTAAAGTTAAAACCTTTCATTTTGATTTAGACAAAAAGGGGGAAATGTTGTGGAATACTATTTTAAGGTATGTTACATTTTTTCTGCTGCTATTGTTAACAATGCAAAGATGTGTTACATGTGTTTGATTAAATAAAATGAAGCTGGGGTCAGGAGGCTGAGTCAGCAACCAGCTGACAGGAAATGGTAGGGAAGAACCATGTGTAGCTAGGATTCTGAAGTGGGGGCTGAGCAGAAGGACGCCAGGTTTTCCGGGAGATGCAAGTTAGGAGAGGACACTAGCTACTTAGGTTAGCCTCTCTGAGAAAGTAGGATTTCCCCTCAACCTTTGAATCCTGAGTTCTATAGAGGGATAGAGATCTAGATAAAGTTTCCTTTAGTGGCCATGATAGAGCCAGTGCCTGAGGGAACGGAATGTCCCCTGGCTGTGGTAGCTGTGGAGTTGCAGATGCCGATTAGGACAGCAGTTGCTTAAGGGACAGTGCTGTGGTTAATGAAAAACAAGGAACCAGCCTCCTTTTAGCAGTGACTATGCTGGAGGCTCATCTCTCCGATTCTTCCTGTCCCCTGTGCTCACCTTGCAGCACTGAACCATGCCCAGGGCACTGAAGCACAGGGTCCGGCCTCCCTCGTGTGGCAGTGTCTCAGGGTCATCTGCAGCTGCCTCCAGCAGAGCTGGGTCAGGAAGACTGGGCCCGGCCTGCAGGAACTCCCCAGAGAATCGAGCGAAGCTGCACACACCCACTTCTGGGGAGAGGCCAGAAGAAGGGACAGCCATGGCAGAAGGGACCCAGGGTGAAACCATCCCAGCATTCCCAGGAGCCCAGGACAGCCTGAAGAAAAACTTATCCTCCAGCCCTGCCACGTGCAGTCAGCTCTGGGGACCAGCCCCTTGCCCAGGCCCAGTGAGAACATAGCTTCAAGTTCCTGCACGCACATCACCCTGGGGGTGGGGCAGTGTTACACCATGCCCAGCACTAGTGGGCCTTGGGACCACTCTACTCTGCCTCCTGGGCAATAGTTGCTGGGACCTCAGCTCACCATGCCCCGGAAGGAACCTGCCAAAGGTGAAGGTCCAGGCATCATGGGGGTACAAGTCAGCCAGTGTAAGGCCCAACACACACAGTGCATCCCCCGGCTTGTTGTTCTTCAAGAAGGACAGGATGCCATCTGCAGGAAGAAGGCTGGGGGTCAGGGTGAGCAGAAGAGCCTCCCATGGGTCTCCTGATCTATGACCAGCCCCGCTCAAAGCTGGATGCTGACAAACTACATCCCTGGGGAGACCCAGAACCCAGAGAAGCTATATGATCAGCCTGAGAACTATGGGCCTAGCCTGAGAGTCAGGCCAGGGATCTCCAGTGCCAGTCATTTCCTGGGTCTCTGTCTCCTGGGTCTCTGTCTCCTGGGTCATGAAAGCTGATGTGGACACAGCAAGGCCATCACCTTCCATGTAGAGAGGCTGAAAGGAGAGACAGGGGCTGGGAACATTGTCCAGTAAAGTGCTTGCCATGACAACATAAGAGACTGAGTCTGATCCCCAGAACCCATGTAAGAAAGCTGGGCCCATGGCTTGTTATCCCAGCACTCTGGGGAGGCAGAGATAGGTGGATCCCTGGGGCTCACTGGCCAGCCAGTCTAGCCAAATTACAGAGTCCCATGGCAGTGAGGGACCTGTCTCAAAAAACAAGGTTGTCCTCTGTTTACACACATGCACATATTCGCGAGCGGGCACGCAAGCACACACACACAGAGGCAACAAGAACCCAGGAAGGAACAGGCCGCTAAACAGTTACCCAAAAATGCCCACATCTAGCTAGGTCCCTAGGCCCTCAAACAGCAAGAGGGACCTGCAGTTGTGATTACAGGTGTTAAGAGGACAATGACACTGCATTGTCCAGAGAGTTCAGGACAGAGAAAGGTGTCTGAGCCACCAAGGACAGCAGGAGGGAGAAGAGGGAGACCCAGGTGGCCAGTGAGGCCCAGGAAAGCCAAGAGAGTGACTGCAAAGGCAGAGGGGAAAGGACACTAGACAGAAGAGCTGTCCCAGGAAGTCTGCTGTGGACAGGGGCAGAGAAGTGGATGGGGCTGGGAACACCTCCATGAAGATCAAGATGGAGAACACAGGACAGGGAAATGGCCATATTGGGGTCTGCAAGCCATTGCTAAAGAGGCATAGAGCAGAGCCCTCCACAGCCTTTACACAGGTAGACTTCTGTGAGCTGCAGGCCACGCAGGGCTACATAGTGAGACCCTGACTCAAAACTAAGTAAGTAAATAAATACAGTCTCAAAACTGTTTTTTAAAAAAGTAAACTGATTTTGACAGAATATTTGATGTAATGAAAACTATCATAGAAACAATTTTTTCAGTGTTTTTTGGGCCCTGCATGTGCTATACAAGTGCTCTGCTGCTAAGCCATACCCTAGGCCCTCACTGGGGGATTCTAGGCAGGTGCTCTACTGCGAAGACACACCCTAGCCCTAGCCCCAGCCCCTTCTGGGGAATTCTAGGCAAGTGCTCTACCACTGAGCCACACCCCAGCCTTCTTTTTACTTGTTTAAAACAGGTTCTTGGTATGTAACCTACGCTGGTCTCAACTCACTCTGTAGCCCAGGCAAGTCTAAAACTTTAAATCCTCTTGCCTTAGCCCTGCACTACTCCTCAACTGACCTCAATGAACTTTTCCTGAGTCAAACATCTGCTAAGAAAGCAGGGCCAGGAGAAGCCCAGCCCACAGAGCAGTAAATCTGGGCTGCTCCGTAGGCAGAAAACAGACCCCAGAGATACCTCCCTACTCTGCCAGCTGCCACTGGGTTCCACACCCAACACAGTATGCGTACTGCCCTTAAGGGTCACAGAACAGCCCAGAAAAGAATCATGCCTTTGTCATACATGGCCCAGCAGGGGGAAGAGAAAACCCCTCTGAAGGAAAACTATCCTGGGACATAGATTCTCCCAGGAAATGCTTTTCAAAAAAAGCGCCCGACTAGCAACCAAAACTGGCAGGTCTCTGGGCACTGTGGTATGCACCTTTAATCTCAGCACTCAAGAAGCTGAGGCAGGGGAATCATAAGCTGAAAGCCCATCTGGGCCACCAAGCTCCTCTTGTCTTAAAAATCCACAAAAGCCGGGAGGGACAGAGGATTGGCTCAGTCCCAGCACCCTCATGGAGTGCCACAACCTCTTGGAACTCCAATTCCAGGGGAAACCATGTCCTCTGGCCTCTGGCACCTGCATGTATGTGATCTGCATAAACTCACACAAGCATACACATATACACATATATAAAAAGAATAAAGCTAGGAGAGAAGAGGAGATGGAGAGATGGCTTGGCCTTTAAAAGCACTAGCTGCTTTTTGCAGAGGACCTGGGATCAGTTCCCAGCACCCACCAGTGACTCATAACCACCTGTAAGTCCAGTTCCAAGGGGATCTACTGCCCCCTTCTGACCTCAGCAGGTACCAGACACAAAAGTGGCCTGCATACATATATGCAGGCAAACACTTACATAAAAGAAAGTCTTTTGGTTTGTTGTTTTTGTTGTTTGAGACAGTGCTTCTCTGTGTAGCCCTAGCTGTCCTGGAACTCATTCTGTAGACCAGAGTGGCTTCAAACTCACATAGATCCGCCTGCCTCTGCCTCCCCAGTGCTGGGATTAAAGGCATGTGCCACCACCACCCGGCACCCGGCGTAAATAAATTTTTTAAAGTCTTAATTATATAAGTAAGTCAGGGGTGGTCATCTGTGACTGTAATCCTAGCATTTGAGAAGGCAGATGCCAGCAACTCACTGCTCAGTCAGCTTGGTTGACTTGGCAAGGTCCAAACCAGTGAGAGACCCTGTCATAAGAAAAAAGAGTAGAGGGGGATGGAGAGATGGCTCAGTGATTAAGAACACTAGCTGTTCTTCTAGAGGTCCTGAGTTCAATTCCCAGCAACCGCATGATGGCTCACATCTATCTGGTGCCCTGTTCTGTCGTGCAGGCACACATGCAGACAGAACACTGTATACATAATAAATAAATCTTTAAGAGAGAGAGAGAAAAGAAAAGAGAACAAAGTAGGGCTGGAGAGATGGCTCAGCAGTTAAGAGCACGGGCTGTTCTTCTAGAGGTCCTGAGTTCAATTCCCAGCAACCACATGGCAGCTCACAACTGTCTATAACTTCTGGTTCAAGGGATCTGGCACCCTCACACAGACAAAGATGCAGGCAAAAGACCAATGCACACAAAGATAAAAATAAATCTTAAAAAATTTAAGAAAACAAGGTGGACAACTCCTGATGAATAATATCTATGGTTGTCCTCTGGTTTACACACAGGTATACAAACACACACACACACACACACACACACACACACACACACACAAGACCCATCAAAACATTCCTTCCCAGCCAGGCGTTGGTGGTGCACGCCTTTAATCCCAGCACTCGGGAGGCAGAGGCAGGTGGATCTCTGTGAGTTCAAAGCCAGCCTGGTCTCCAGAGCGAGTGCCAGGATAGGCTCCAAAGCTACACAGAGAAACCCTGTCTCAAAAAAAAAAAAAAAAAAAAAAAAAAAATCCCTTCCTTCTCCAGGGCTCCTTCCTTCCAACTTTTCTTTCCAGAAGGGTCTGTTGCTGCACAGTGGAGTCCCAGGCTGTGCCCCACCCACACCCTGCCTCGCTCACCTGTGTGAAGCTGGAGCCCATCAGTGTCCTGACTAGGTCTTGAGGAGCAGTGGATGGAGGCAGCGGCCACTGAGGGCAGGCACTTGACTCGAAGGCCCAGGAAGAAAGCCTCTGCACAGTTTCGAAGGTGGTCCAGCAAGGGGCAGCCCGCCAGCCCCTCACTCAGATCTAGGTGAATACAAACACATCAGCCTGCTGTGACCTCCTGCCCAGTGAGTCTCACTTGTGCTGGCCCTTTGGGTGGAAAAGGCAGGCATCACAGTCCTGTGTGATAACTCAGGGTCAGGGAAGGCATCTAAGTTGACCGGAAGAGAGCAGCTGGCATAGGTAGAAGCTAACAGGTCCCAGGCCAAGAGAAGGGCAGCCTGGCTAGGGCAGAAGGGCACCAGCTGACAGTGGTGGCCAGGGTACCAGGATCAGGGAACAACCACTGGAGGGAGGGGCATGTGCTCACTGTGTGCTACTTGGATGGGGCACAGATCTTGGATGGAAACAAAGAGTGAGTGGTTTCAGGGTCCCGAGCACTGTTAGAAATGAGGCTGAGGATGTGGCTCAGTTGGTAGAATGCTTACCAAGCATGCACAAGGGTCTGGATCCCATCCCCATCACTGTACACACTGGGCATGGTAATGCACACCTGTAATCCCAGCACTCAGGAGGTGGGGGTAGGAGGGACAGGAGTTTAAGGTCATAATTTGTTCAGGGCCAGCCCAGACTAAGAGGGATGAAGAGATGGTTCAACAGTTGAGAGCGCACACTACTCTGATAGAGGGCCCAAGTTCAATTCCCAGCACCCACTTTGGGCAGCTCACAACTGCTTATAACTCCATCTCCAAGGAGATCAGACATCTTTGGCCTGTGAGAGCACCTGTACTCATGTGCACAAACCCACACAGAGACACAAATACACATATTTAAAATAAGGAAGAGTGGCACTCGCCTTTAATCCCAGCACTGGGGAGGCAGAGGCAGGCGGATCTCTGTGAGTTTGAGGCCAGTCTGGTCTACAGAGCGAGTTCCAGGACAGCCAAGGCTACACAGAGAAACCTTCTCTTGAAAAAAAAAAAAAAAGGAGAAGAATGGAAAGAAGTGAGTGAGGGCAAAAGACAGGTCCCTAGGCCCACCCTCACCCTCCTACCCACAGATGACATGGACAGAAGGGCATGAGCAGTCTGCAGGCTGAGAGATGCAGGAACCACACAGTGCCTGTGGCACTCAGGTCCTAAGCTCCAGGAAGGAACTGTCAGAGAACCCAGGCTGGTCACTGAGGTGCCATTCGAGGGGGCAGGACAAAGCAGGGTATGTCAATGTCTCAAAAAGTCTGTGCCTTCTGTCCTCCACTACAAAGCTAATAGCCACAAGTGCCCTGTGTGTCCCAGTGCCAGGCAGGGACCTCCTAACTTTGCTATACTGAGAACACAGGGGCCAGCTTGTCCCTCCCACCTCTCCAGCACCTGGCTGAGCCATTTTCTTAGCCCTGGTTGCCCCACTTCCTCTAGTCTCTGACCGATAAGAAGAGCTGGAGGATTCTCTGGAGATCCCTAAGTCCCCTCTGTGCCAGTCCGGTGTCTTCTAAGAGATCATGAGGCCTTCAAATCCCACCTCATCCAGAATCCAGCTCTGCCACCAGACAAGCCAGCAACATCTCCAACCTCAGCTTCCAGCCTTTGAAATGAGTGGTTCCTGCCCTCAGCACCCACAGAGACCCTGAGTACCCAGCACAGGACCTAGGCCAGTGCAGGTTATAACCAGGTCATGGCCAGGACTATGAGCACACAGATAAAATGGGGAATCCTAAAAAGGCAAGCCACTCGGCTCCGCCTGAGTACCCAACAGACCCCAAGCTATTGCCTTCAAGTCACTTCTGCCTAGGGCTATTTCTTACTGGGAGATTCTAGGCAGCTGCTCTAGCACTGAGCCACACCCCAGTCCCTCACTGGGGGGTATTCTAGGCAGGTGCTCTACCACTAAGCCACATCCCCCCCCCCCAGGAGTTCTGATGGCTCCCACCCAGCTCTCATACCTATAGGCTGCAGGTAAATGTGTTTCCGGGCCAGGCTCTGCTTCCGGGGCTGCAAGGAAGCATGGAAGGTTTCGAAATCTTCAGGGGCCTCTGGACGACTCAGGAGCCAGTCAAAGGCCGAGTGGATGAGCAGTGTGCTGAAGAGGGTCCGGTGAGGGTTGTAGGCCTCAGACAGGAAGAGCCTCTCAGATGGAGAGAAGGCTGAGGTGTAGAGCTGCTTCAGGGCCAGATCACGGGAGATCAAGGCATCCTTCAGGGCCCGGGGCCCAAAGCTGAACTCCTGGGGTGGTCTGCACTGCAGCATAGTGTGTGTGTGGCCCCTGGCCACTCCCTGGAGCTCCTTTTCTGGCCCATGAATCTCCCAGGGGACAGCCACGGTCTCTTCTAGAATCTTCCCTCAGGCTGACAGAGTAGCTGCTTGGGGCTTTCAGGGATGGAGACTGAAGAGAGAGATTGTGTGACTCAGTTCTGCCTTGTGCTGGAACTTCTCAGCAAGGCAAGCAAAAACTTGCTGTCACCCTGCAGAAGACAGCACAGGCACATGGTCACTGTTCTGGTCACAAATGACTCTCAGACTAGAGGCAGTTTTCTGTGAACTGGAGTCAGAATGATGCAGTCTACCTCTAGGAGGTAGCATTCACCCAGTCGGGTCAGAAGGGATGCGTGCATGCATGCCCTGCGCCTTCGTGTGTGGTGTGTGCATGCCAGTGGAGGCCAGAGGTTGATGTCAAGTCTATCACTCTCCACCTTGCTCTTGGAAAAATAGTCTCTCCCTGAACCTGGAGCTTATAAATTCAACCAGACTGGCTGGCTAGCAAACCCACAGACATGCCATCTCAGTTTGTCACGTGGGTGTTGAGGATCCAAACTCAGATCCCCATGCTTGTGTGGCAAGTGCTCTACCCACTGACCCATCTCCCCATCCCAGAACTGAGCATGATGGCGCGCCCTATTTCCTCACAGAGCTGTATTTCCACACAGTCCTCAACTCTGCTTTGAGCCCTCGGAAGCGAGGGTCATATAAGGAAGCCTCTACCCTTCAAGGCTAGGAGGGCTCCTTTAGAAAAGCCAGAGGCTGCTATCCCTGCCATTTACAATCTTAAAACACATCCTGTTCCCCTAGGAAGGTGGCCAGACCCTCCCCCAAACCATAGGCTTTCTTTCAAGCGCCCTGGTGCACCCAGGGGCTGTCTTCTGGGGAGGAAGGCAGCCCAATGTCTCCCCGGTCCTGGTTTCTAGAATATAAACAAGGCTCTAAAACACAGATCTAACAGACCAGAATCAGCATGCACGTGGGACACAGCAAATTGTAACTGGAGGCAAGCAGACAGGCAGAGGGGCTGCAAGCAGTGGTAGTCGCTGTCAACCAGAGCCCTCTCTGGGAGTGAAAACTGGCACGTGGGTACTTCAGGCTTCCTTTTGCATCTCAGAGTGGTTGGCTCAGGCAGAAACATAGGGTGGGCAGGTGTTGTTTGCCTTCTCTGCCCCAGCATGGTCAGCTCGCAGAGGGGAGGAGGGGCGCAACCCCAGAGGCCCTGCAGGTGCTGAGCACCTGACTCCTCACACATCTCACCAACCTATTTTTGTTTCCAGATGCCAATCACACCACCTACTTAGACTCCTTGCTCTGCCCCAGACCTGCTCACAAACACAACACCCTAAGCTTAAGTCAATTAAGCCAGGTTCAGTGCTTCTGAATTACCCCTCAAGGTTGTAGCTACTTCATCCTTTCTTTCTGTGTATTGCTCTCTCTGTCTCTCTTCCTCCCTCTCTCTGTCTTTCAGAGCTAGAGATGGAATCTGTGTCCTAATGCAGGCTAGGTAAACCCTATCCCTGAGCCATACCTGTAACCCCTCAATGGAAAGTTCAAAGCAGGTGCTTCACTGAGTAACCATGCCCCAGCCCCTCACTGGGAGATTCTAGGCAGGTGATCTACCACTGAGCCACACCCCTAAACTCAGAATTACCCTTTCTGTAACTTGAAATGGTCTATGTGTTATTTCTCTGGAGTAGCCCAGGAGGGTTTACCTCACAGCTTCCTCAAGAGAAGAAAAGAAGCGAGGCCCTGGTATCACAGAAGTCCTGAACCACTCTGATTAACATCCTGTGTACCTCATCTGCCATTCTGAAAATCACTCAGTACCTGGGGGATGGTACACACCTTTAATCCCAGCACTCACGAGGCAGAAACAGGCATATCTCTGAGTTCCAGGCCAGCCTGGTGTACAGAATAAGTTCCAGGACTACACAGAGAAACTTCTGTCTCAGAAAAAAACAAGAAAAAAGAAAGAAGGAAGAGAGGAAAGGAAGGAAGGAAGGAAGGAAGGAAGGAAGGAAGGAAAATCCCCCGGGATCACTGTGTGAGTGAGGGGTGTGTGTGTGTGTGTGTGTGTGTGTGTGTGTGTGTGTGTACATGGAGGCCAGAGGTCAATGTCAGGTGTCCTCCTCAATCATGTTCCATGTTATTTTTGAGGCAGGGTCTCTCACTGAACCTGCAGCTTACTAATTCAGCTAGACCTCCCCCACAGCAGAGCTACAGTTACAGATCTGGACTGTTATATCTGCTTTTATGGGGGTCTAATACCCACTGAGCTATCTCCCCAGCCCAAGACCATTTTTAATCTAACACTTCATTCAACCTTTATGACAAGCTTGAAGTGGTTATCAATATTTACCCATCTTATTGCCAAATAAAGTGAGGCTCAGAAAGGCAAAGCCAATTGTCCTGGGTTGCACAGCTCACTTGGATTCTGACTACCATTTAGTTCCCTCTAATCTTGACTCATGGACCCTCTCCTACCCATAGGAGCATCCAATTCCCCTCTTACCACCACACATACAAGTCAGGGTCTTTGATGCTGCCAAACACTCCAGCTCAGGCAAAGCAACAGGAAATAAGAAGTGTTTGTTGTCAGTGAGACAGGGTCTCACTATGTAGCCCAGGCAGGCCTCCTAAGTGCTGGAGTTACAGGCATGTTCCACATACCCAGCTGATAAGAGCTTGCTTTTTACCAAAAGTTCACTCGTTTGGCCATGTTCATCCCAGTCCCAGCTGTTTAAGGTCTGTCCCCTGCATCCTACTCAAGAGGGCTGCTTGTGTACCCACACACATGCTCAGAGCATCATCCTGACAGGAGTGCCATGGGGCAGCCTCCCCACCCCCAACCCAGGCCTTGAAGAAACAGGATGTACATCAGCTACAGGCAAACCTGGATGGATGTCACATGTTGTATCTGCAAATCCAATACTTGGGTGGCTGAGGCAGGAGGATCACAAGTTTGAGGCCAGCCTGGGCTATATAACAAGACCCTATCTCACAAAAAACAAAAGAAAACAAAAGCGAGACCAACAAGTAGGAAAACAAATGGCATCAGAGCATGATGGGATACTGGGGGGTGGGGACCAAAGGAACCACCTTCCAACAGGAACTGGAGGCTGGTTTGACAGGGTCTGAGTTGGGCACCGGAGTAAGCAAGTCTCGCTGTCCCTTTCAATGTCTTTCTCTGGGGTCTGGTAGCCCGGATGTCTACACAGACAGCATTTCCTCTCAGGCAGCTCTTGTGGCCTTATTCATATTCTGGGGTTCTTAGAAGACAGCCCTATCCCCACTCTTGGCCACTATCTCAGTTTTTCCGTCTTGTGTGTCAAGTCTTCACAAGACCACACACTTCATGTTGAGACAGAAGCTTCAGGAGGAAGTGGTCCTAGCAACCAAACAGCCACAAAAAAAAAAATGCTGCACGGACTGTGAGGGGTCACCCCACCCTACCCACCCATCCTGTCAGCCTTGCCAAATCCTCCTCAGAATAAACACCTAAGCTGACCCTGAGCTGTCCTGTGTCTGTCTCTACGGCAATTTCAGATGGAAAAACTGAAGCACAGAAACCCTCTTGATTGGTCCTGGGTCACAGGGAGAGGCAGGAGGTCTCCTGGTATCCAAGCCATGAACTCCCACCCCAGCATGGTAATGAGGGTCTAGGCCAGTAGTTCTCACCCCGTGGGTTGCAACCCTCATGGATTGCATATCAGATATTTGCATTATGGTTCATAACAGTCTCAGCATAAGGAAGGTTGAGAACCACTGTCCTAGAGGAAGGCTGTCTAGTGATGAGGGGACATGCACCACCCTTTCCCTTCTCTCTCCTGCTGCTATACCTAGATTCCCTCCCTGTGAGGTGCCTCCCTCTCTGTATTGCTCAAAGCCTGGGACAACATGCATGTCCTTGCTCAGGCTCTAGCTCCCCAGAGAGGCAGCTTGAGGTGACCAAGATCAGGTCGCTCAACTCCAGTATACCTGTTTCTCTCTCTCTTATTTATATTTTTATTGTGAGACAGGGATTTATCCTAGGGCTAGCCTCGAACTGGCAGCGATGCTCCTGCCTCAGCCTCGCAGTGCCTAGAATTACAGGCTTGCCTCACCACGTCCAGCAGATGCCTGCCCTTTGGACAAGAATCACACTCTGCTTGCTCCTTGTTATTCTGAAGACGCAAAAAAAAAAAAAAAAAAAAAAAAAAAAAAAAAAAAAAAAAAAAGCCAACAGCTGCAGCCGTTCATTTACTTAAATCTTCACGGCAGCTTTAAGCAGCCCCGGGGAGAAGGAAATGCAAGGCCAGAAACATACTGAGAGGGAGGATAGGGCTTAGACGGCTGGGGGAGGTCTCCCCCGTGCAGACCCCACCCTTGCCTGTGAGCCCCAAATTCAAATCTAATTTCCTTTCAGGCAGTGAAAGGTCCACGCGCCTGAGCTTCCCACAAGTTCGTAGTCTCCCTGCACCAGCTCTTTGGATAGATAGGTGGCCCTACCTTCCTGGAGCTGTGACATCACCAGGTGGCGGTCACTCACACCCATCCCAGACACAGGCTGGGAAGCAGCCCAGGGAAGAGAGACTTCGCCTCTCTGGGGGACATCCCACAATAGCCAGTGTGTCCTTGCTGGGAAATGCCTTCCTTTGGGAGCGTTCCTACAGCCTGATGCCCGCCCCCCACCCTCCACATCTCACGATGTCAAGGCTGTTTGACCTGGTAGCTGCTGACAGGGAGTGGGCACCCTTCCCCTTGGGAACCCTGCTTCTAATTGTCTGGAACCTGACCACCAGCGTGACATGTATCAAATCCTGGTCCCTGGAGCTCACCTAAACCTCTATCCAAGTCCACCCTGTGCATCCCGCGGTTCCCGGCACAGGGACACGCCGCCACCACCCAGACGTCCCCCTGGCTTGCGCTGGCTGGAACCCCCCACTCCGCAGCACTACCTGCATCCACCCTGGGTATCAGGCTCCTTCCAGGTCCCTTCCTGATCCCCGCGCCTGTGGCTGCTCTCCACGCACCCCCTACCTCGCAGCCCAGTGCCCTCCGGAGCTGCCCCACAGCTGCTTTGTGTGCGGGCCACAGGGACCAAACCAGTCCTGGTGTGACGTCAGCACGCGACTAGGACCGAAGAGGGATCCGGTGGAAAGTGCGAAAGGAGGGCGGTAGAAAACGGTACCACACCCTCC